AAACCAGACGTGGCCTCTGCTCAGTTGTCTGTCTCTCTCTCTCTCTCTCTCTCTCTCTCTCTCTCTCTCTCCCCCTCTCCCTCTCCTGTGGCTTCTGCAGAACTTATGAATTCTCCTAGCTGCCACTGCAGACCTTCCCCTTCACATAATACTCTCAGTGACGCTCCGTCTGGGCCAGTCTTCTGTGCCTCCCAGGAAGACGGAGCAAGGGCCTGTCTCAGAGCACCTGGCAGCCCTGCTGTCGGGACAGGAGGCGGGCTCTCCTTCACAGTAGCCTGCCCATCCTGCCATCTCGCTCCTCACAACTGTGCGTGCCTGTGGGGTAGCCAGCAGCACCCACCGGGACCAGGGGGGCCATGCAGGCTTATCTGGTAGGCGAAGAAACCCCTTTTCCTGGTATCGGTTAGATCTGGACAGAAATGTGCGCTGTCAGCCACCCTTTGTCCATGACTGAGATGCCACAGTGTTTCCTCTGAATTGTTCTTTTTTCTTTTCTCAGCCTGACCTGCTGAATTTCAAGAAAGGCTGGCTGACCAAGCAGTACGAAGATGGCCAGGTTTGTATGCAGAACTTCTGTGGTTTCTGAGAGGCTGGGAGCAGCTACAGGGCCAAGCTGGCCTTATCCCTGGCTGGTCTGTGAGTACTGGCTCCGCCTCCACCTCTGGCAGACCCCCATCTCCAAAAAGTGGAGGATCACAGCCCCATTGCTGCAGTGGGCTGGGCTTCTGGAGAGGGGCCAGCAGGCCTGCCTGCTGCCAGGGTGAGGATTGCTCTCCTGTGCCCAGCAGTGATCTTGGCCTTGGGCTGTGGGGACATCCATCCTCCAGCACTACCTCCCCACTTGCTATTCTTCCCTAAAAGTTCCCTGGGAGACCAGGCTCCCCAGGAACAGGGAAAACCTCTGGTTGTAGGGTTGGCTTGTGTTTGCATACAAGGCAGCCAAGGGGACAGCGGCTGAAGGCAGCAAGGCTCTGTCAGAGATACCAGCTCAGTCCAGACCTGGGAGAGCCGTTGTAGTACATTCTTCCCATCAGACTCAGGCCGGAAGAGCCATTTACCACTGGACCTGCCAGCCCTACCTTGACCCTGGTTGGGGCTAGAAGGCCAGACTCTAAGGAGGCTTGAGGAGCAGCCTACTAGGTCACCAGAAAGCCTCGGAACCTTGCCCGCCCACATTCTCCTCCTGCTTCCTGCATGGCTGTGCCAAACGTCCTCTCTGTCAGTCCTCGCATCCTTGCCCGAGACTCATCTCCCTCTCTGCTCCCCCCAGTGACGGCAGGGGAATCTGGCTGATTGGTTTGCACTGCTGGCTGCAATGGGCGCACCCTCTGGGTAACCAGCCAGTGGCTATGGCTCCCAGGTGCCTCCTTAAAAGGAAGATGCTGATTTCACAGCCACCTTTCAGCTCTTAAGGGCCCATCCCCCTGACTGCAGCCTCTGGAGTTGAGATTGAGGACTGTGAAGCGCTGTTCACCAGCCACACCTCTGGGTTACGAAGAGCCCCATAGCCTATGGCCCACCCCAGCTCCCTCTCCTACCCTATCATTGGGGAGTCAGGGCTTCGCAAGTGCCCGGGAATCCTGTGTGCATGGCTGCTGGGCCTTGTGGATTCTCTGTGTGTGTGTCTGCTGCTTGTGGCAGGGCCGCCCGCCCTCTGCTTTACACGTGTGGAGGGAGGTGCTCTGGGACTTGGCACAGACCCCTTGGAGCAGGAGGTGCTGCATAGGAGTTGAGTCTGTCTTTTCCCTCCTATTTTAGTGGAAGAAACACTGGTTTGTCCTTGCTGATCAAAGCCTGAGATACTACAGGGATTCAGTGGCTGAGGAGGTGAGTGTCTCGGCTTTGCTCCCATTGGAAAGACAGCGGAAGGGGTTCAGGTGGCATCTGGGAGCCCGAGGCTGCTGGGCTGAAACCCCCTCTGACTGTGGACGGGTGTCTGCATTGCCGTCTTGGCCTTCCCAGTCCAGACCTGGGGGGAAGTCTGAGTGCAGTGCGGCCAATTTGGGATGTGCTCACCACGGGCTCCTGCCTGGCTGGAGGGTCTCCTGAGGCACTGCTTCAGGCACCTGGGCATAGTGGATTTGAGCAACTTCTTTGAAAAACAAAGGTGTCTTATTTTAAAACTCAGGATGAGCAGTTTTGTTTTTTTCTACGAAGAGAGTTTGTGGTAAAGTGAGTCTTTTGAAGACTGAACTAAAGCATCTTGTCCTTTCTTCTCTGGTTGAGCATAGGGCATGGCAGGTGGACGTGGTTGGCTCAGTCGACAGTCTTGATTCCACAGCCAAAGGACCACCAGAGGAGCTCTTTCCTCACCTACGAAAACCCTTTATTTATTTAATTTTTTAGCAGTTTAGCAAATGTGTTTCTAACCTTCCCTTGTAGTTCAACTCCAGGAATCCTTCAGATATATTCCCACATGTAGTAAAAGATCTGTGTCCAAGGCGAGTCATTCAGTACTATTCTAATAGCAGGAAACTGAAAAGAACCTAAGTGTCTATCATTAGGGGCTGGTATTTACATGCCCTGAACCTAAAAACCTAAGTTTTTAACGGAGTGCAGTGGAAAGATATTGGTGATACAGGGTAGGTGTAGACCAGGGTGGGGGCTGGCCCCTGGTGTGCCTAATATCAGGGGATCCAGAAGCACACGAAGTGCCTGACCACACACTGAGTGTCTGCCACTTGGATAAACCAGCAGTTCTCAGAGTGTGGGCCCTGGAGACACTTTCGGGGGCTGGGGTACTCAAAACCGTTGTTATAAAACTAAGATGCTGTTTGCTTTTTTCATTGTATCCACATTTACACTGGTGGCCAAAGCAGTGGCAGGTGAAACTGTTGGTGTCTCAGCCCAATCGCAGGCTGCAGCCGCGGATGGCCAGCGGCCATGCATTCTTCACTGCCATACAGTTAGAGACAGTTAGAGCCCTGGCCAGTGTGCTCACTGGTTAGAGCTCTGGCCCTCACACCAAAGGGTCATGGGTTTGATTCCTAGTCAAGAGAATGTGCCTGGGTTGCAGGGATCCCTGGCCCTGGTCAGGGCTCATGCGATGTTTCTCTCTCTCCCTCTCCCTCTCCCCACTTCCCACTTCCCACTTCCCACTTCCCACTTCCCTCTCTCCACTTCCCACTTCCCACCTCCTCCTCTTTTCCAATCTCTAAAAATCAATGGAAAAAATATCCTCAGGTGAGGATTAACCAAAAAGAAGAAAGTTACTAATTTTATTAAGTCTTAATCATTGAAGAGCCATCTTTTTAATATTCTGATATTCGAAATGGGAAGTAAGCATAAGTCTCTTCTGCTGCCACCCGAAGTATGGCGGCTGTGCCTGGGCACGTGCCTACCTGCTCGCCTGCTGAGCGTCTCTCCCCCTGGAGAAAGGATAACTAACAGACAAGCTGCTCCTTTACTTTGGGTGTTAGCAGACTTTTTTCAAAATAAACGAAGTGAGCCTATTCCTTTTAGGAAAGCATCTGACAGGAGTGATTGCCAGTGCTGCGACATAAGCTTTCAAGCAGAAACGGGAACTTTGGGAAACGTATTCATCAAGAATTTGATAGCTCTCCTTTTCTTACAGACTCTCCTGACCAAATGGGTAGTGATACTAACAAATGCAGTGTTTGATCTTAGAAATGAGATGTGTCAACACTAGGAGTGTGTGTAACTCACCCTCTTCCAAAGGACCAATATATAACGCTACATAGTTGTGCATGGGTGAAAGGTCCATTCCATGGGCAGGGAAAACTGGCTGTATGTAACCAAGTACAGAAAGTTCCTTGATATGATTCCACTTCATAGTTAACCTTTAAGAAACTCCCACTTATCAAAAAGGAACCACAGTTATCTGAGGACTTAAAATACGTCTTCCCCTTTCAACTCTGTTTTTGTGTAAGTCAGACTTCATGAAACATGTACTTCAGCCAAAACAATGCATCCGTCAGACTGAATGCAGAAACAGATGTGAAAAGCCAGATATTAAAGAGATTTGTAAAAATTCAATACCACTCATAACACTGCTTTTTTAAGTAATATTTTTATTTAAAAATGAAATGGGCTTATTTGTATTCTTATGTGAGTAGATATGTTTAAATTTTTTTCAGTTTAATTTCTAATATAGTAAATCTCAGTAGGTAGAGCTCACATAACTCTTTGATGAAGCTAACCTCCATTTCTAAGAGCATGAAGCCGTCTGGCAGCACATGTGAGAACCATCGACATAGGGTGTCTTTGGCAGGGACCACGTGGCAAGTGGTGGAGTGTCGGCCTGGTTCTATCCCTGCAGGCAAGGTCTGTGCTCCCTAAGAGAAAGGCAGCACACAGTCCCTGTGAAAACTTGTCTAGTTTGACTTTTATTTCTAAACCTCTTAATGTTCTTCCATTTCTCTCTGCAGGCGGCTGACTTGGATGGGGAAATTGACTTGTCTACATGTTACGATGTCACGGAGTATCCAGTGCAGAGAAATTATGGCTTTCAGATACATGTGAGCCCAGGGATGGAGTTTGGAGACAGGCTTGACTGGCTGGGACATTTCTTCAGAACCTGACCCTAGTCCTGGGCACTTGTGGGCAGGCCTGACGCACATGCCTGGCCAGCAGGCATTCTTCCCGTCAGTGTTGGCGCCTTGTCCTGCTCTTCCTCAGTCCTGTGGCACCTGACCCCTCCCCCAGTTGGTGATCTCAGCAAACAATTAGGCATTAGCTTCTTTCCAGACTGTTGAGAAGCTTTGTTACTGAAGTTTTGGGTTTTTTCATCCTGGAGCTTGGGACATTGGGTGGATATGTAAGGAATAAGAATGAAAGTGTTAACTATTTAAATCTCAGAATACTAGGCTTCAGTTCACCTGTTCTTTCTTATTCTTCTAGTCATCAGTCATAAATTTGAAAATTCATGAGGTCGTCCCCCCCCGCCGCCCCCGCCCCATAACCTTGTAAGGGACTTGGACGAGCAAGTCATTGCCCTTGACCTCAAAAATAACCTGGTTAGATGACTAAAACAGTGCTCATTGTCCATTCCATGAAAGTCGGTGGCTCAGGGCTACCTGGAGTTAGCCGGGCTCAAGTTAGGACGCATCCCCTGCCTACCACATTGCCCTCAAATGCCCGCTGCAGGGCGAGGGTACCTCAGTCATCCTCAGGGTCAGGAATTAGCCAGAGCAGGAAAGCGCTGGACCGAGGCTGTGGTTTCACTTTGGGAGAAGGTACCATTAGAGCCACAAGGAAGCGAGACCTGAGCATCGCCACCCACTGCAAGGCTCTCAACATAAGCACCCGTGTCCTCGGGAACACCCCTCCTGATGTGGCTGTGACACCCAGTGCCTCCTTCCCAGCAAGCCTGAGTTCTTAGTGAGGTTTCATAACTGTCACGATGGACTGAGTCACATCCATGTGGCCGAGCACAGCCTCCAGGCCTCCCCTCAGAGGTCAGCTGGTTTCACGTGGCCCCTAGCCCAGCCTCACTGATGGCTGGTCTTTATAGCATAGCCTGCTCCGCCCTGAATTACAGGCTCCCAGGTTGCTTCCCATGAGCCAGGGCCACTTGGTACCAGAGCCTGTGACCAAACGGACAGCCCGACAGCTGCACCGCCAGGCTGGCCCCGGCTCTGCCTCACAGGACCCGGAATTTTTACAGGGTCTTACCTTCAGGTGGTTGGGTATAAACACTCGGTTGTACCATTGGACTCAGAATGGATCAAGCACGTTGAGACTGAGTCATATTGACCAAACTTAAAAGAGACGGGTCAGGACCCAAAGGCCAGTGTGTGCATTATAAGGAGAAATCCCACCCACAGCCCACGGGGCCGCTGGTCATGGCATTTCTCCCCTGTGAGTGCCACGGCATAGCTGGGAGTTGCACAGGGGCCTGGCATGAGGGCCAGGACATGAGGTTGTGGATTTCAGGATCTTAGCCACCCGACTGATGCCTTTCTGCCGCTGTCCCTGCTGGAGGAGCAGACATGCTCAGCGAGCTAAGTCTGAACTTCTTGTCTTCAGGCGGTATTGGTGGCAGTGGTGACTTCCGGCTTACTAGGCGCCATGCTGGGCCCCCCCCCAACCCATTCCTCCCCATCTTAAAGAGCAGGTTTCTCAGGGCAGGGTGTCCTAAGGTGAGAGGTGGCTTGCCACTAAAGTCAGCTCCCCTCACTGAGCAAGTTACAACTTCATCATCGAGGGCCCGAGCCACGCGGTTTGCTCTCCTCGTCACTCTAGCGCCTTTTCCTTCCCCTGGATGGGAGCTTACCCAGGCTCTGATGCTTCTCCTTGGGCCCGTGGCTGAGGGTCTAGGTCACGAGAGGTCACTTTGAGCATGGAGGGCAGGTCCTGGAGGCTCTCCGCTCGGGTCACTGGGGAGTTTCAGGATCTTGAGAGGCAAGGATGAGGAATGAGTGTGCAGGGCCCCTGGTGCAGCCACTAGAACTAGTGGCACCTACAAGGGAGCTAAGTGCAGAAGCTGGGCAGGGGGTACCGTGAAGCCCCAGTGCCGGAACAGAAATCAGCCTTGTCCTGCTGTTGTGGAAGGTACTGGAACCATTACCTCGTGTAGGAAGACACAGCCAGCAGGGCCTGCGAGTGGTTAGAGGAGGAGAAGGTAGAGGCAGGAGACCAAGCAGGCACAGTGGTGGGCAGAAAAGAGAGAACTGGTTGAGAGATACTGGAGGAGGTACCCATGGGCTGTGGTTGTAGGCAGGTGAGGAAGGAGGCAGGCGTGAGGTCGGGTGCCCAGAGCATGGCAAGCCTTGTGCAGAAGTTGGGCAGCAAAGGTGACTTCACAAAAGGAATAGAGCCTCTGGAATTCTGGCTGTGATGGGCTAGTCTCTAAGGACATTAGGCAGCCAGGTGTGGGCCCACAGTTAGGAAAGAGCCTCCCGGGGGTGGGAGATGAGGTCCTGGGGCAGAATGTGGAGATGGCCGAGACCAGCCTGCAGAGACACCAGACCTAGGAGCGGGAGGCGGCAGAGGACCCCAGGACGAGTGTGAGCCGACCCCCGGGACATGCAGGGCCAGGGCCTAGGGAGGCAGAACTCAGATTGCGTGAAGACCACGGCCCCACCTTCAGAGCACAGCAAGGGAAACCAAAGGGACGAGGGGGTGGGTTGTCTCTGACCGGGGGCCGGGCTGGAGGCGGAGGTCAAGTCCAAGCTGCACTGTGCAGCTCTCCAGCCTGGCACGTGGTCTTGAGCGTTGGTCCATGGCCACGCCAGTACCAGCCCACACCATCTTGGTGGTTTCGTCTTCCCGTCAGCTGATTTGCTAACCTCTCGTGGGTTTGTTTCCGAGTAGCCTGTGCAGCTTAAAGAACAGGACCGCACCCCCTCCTGTGAGACAGGAGCCTGTGGCTGCAGGAGCAGGGCAGTGGGCTCCATGCGGCCACCACCTGGGTTCCCATCGTGCCTTCTCTGGAGGGACCTGCCCCAGAGGCACTCCCCCTCGCTGGCGTGCTGCTTCTCTGCTCCTCCATCTAGCTTCCCTCCCCTGTGGCCTGCACAGCTCCCCACTACAGGAGGGCTCCCTGTCTTGACTGATGACCCATCAGCTCATCCAGGTCGGGGGCCAAGGGGTTGTCCCAGAAGTGCTCCCTGCTCTCTTCTCTGTCACCTCTGTCACCACCTGAATTCTAATTCCCTGGACACCTGCCCTAACTACCCAGCAGGCCTCCCTGCCTCTTCTCAGTCCGAGAGACACAGCTCCTTCATGACCACGCCTCCTGCCCGGCCTCACGCCTGCTGTCCCCACCTGCCTGCCTGTGCCTGATGAGCCTGGCTGCAGGGCACCAGGCCTGGGCTCTTACTGTGGCCCCTGCCTGGGATGTGCGCCTCTTCCCCATCCGCTTGCCACCCTCCTCACCCTCATGGTCCAGCTCAGCCCCTGTGCTGTGGGCCTCTCCCACTGCTCCCCACGTGCTCACTCTCGCCCTGCAGCCTGTGAGTTTCTTGAAGAGCAGGCGAGTCCCCCCAGTGCCAGACATGCCCGCTGAGTCCCAGAGGGAGGTCCCGGAGACAGCCATTCCCAGGAAAGCACGGTGCTGTTTGCTCTGCTCTCAGGTCTCAATTCTCCCAGTGGCTGTGCATGGTGCTCCTAAGATGGCCGCCTGGCCACATCCTCCCTGCAGGACTGACCTCTGAGGGTGGGTGGGCGGACCGTGGTCACTGATACTGCCTTGTCCTTTGTGTAGACAAAGGAGGGCGAGTTCACTCTCTCAGCTATGACATCGGGAATCCGGCGGAACTGGATCCAGACCATCATGAAGCACGTCCATCCGACCTCTGCCCCAGATGTGACAAGGTAAAGTCTGAGGGAGCCACCTTCCCCAGGGGTTGGCGCTTCCCGGGACCTGAGCTGGAGACCAGTGCGGCCTTCTTCCTTGCCGCCTCTGCCCCACACTGGCTGGCCCTGCTCTCCTCTTTCTGGCTCCTGGTTTTTCTTTGTGGGGTTACCTTTTCCTCCTGTAAGTATTTCTTGCATTAGAGCCACTTAAGTATCATTTGTGCCACTGTCAGAACTGAGCTTGGTGGACTAAGCTCCCTCTGGTGTGGGCCTGGAACTGGTGCTATGCTCCGTTGGGAGGGCAGCCCTGGAGGCTACATTCATAAGACACCACAGCATTTACTCTCTCTCTCTCTCTCTCTCTCTCTCTCTCTCTCTCTCACACACACACACACACACACACACACGTGTGCGCGCATTGTGGGGGGGTGGGAGGGGGAGAGGCCTGCAACCAGGAAATATTCTCTGAAATTCTCAGTGCTGGAGCCTAAGTTGGAAACTGTTCATCCCCATGATACTCTTTGGTTCATGTATCTCCTGATTCACTGTGTGCCTTCCTCCTCCAACCCTGAAGGTTAGAAACTTGCTGGTTTTCATTTTATAAGAAAGGACATGGATCCAGTGTGTGGAGCTGGCCCTGTGATGCCCCACACTTTGCTGCTCTCGCCTCAGGCTTCAGAGCCTACGCCTGTCTGAGAACCTGTCACTGACACTTTTCAGACAGTTTGAATGACTCCTCAAGTATATTTCTTGCATCAGAGGTAACATTCTGTGACCCTGGTGCCTGCAGTGTGCCCTCTGGTGGCTGGGGCAGCTATGGCCACGCCAAATTTTTTTTTAAGCAAAGTCTTTTTATATATATATATTTTATTGATTTTTTACAGAGAGGAAGGGAGAAGGATAGTTAGAAACATCGATCAGCTGCCTTCTGCACACTCCCTACTGGGGATGTACCCACAACCAAGGTACATGCCCTTGACTGGAATCGAACCTGGGACCTTTCAGTCTACAGGCCAACTCTCTATCCAATGAGCCAAACCAGTTAGGGCCTAAATCTTCTTTTTAAAGACACTGTACCTCTTTGAACCAGAAGAAAGGAAAGAAACCCAAAGTAACTTTTTTCTTTAGTTCTTTCCCGTATTTGTTGGCATTGTTTGTTCACTTATTTATTAAACAACAGGATAGTCCGTTGTTCCTGAGTTGGTAAGGCCAGGAGATGGTGAGTGGGACAGGCTGTCGGTGTTCTGTGCGTGAGCACATCCTGTGTGCAGACCTGCAGGGGCCACTCCGCCCTTGTGGCTGCGCCCATGGCAGCTCTGCAGCTGCCCCAGGTCTCTCCCACTGAGGAGCAGAGGCCAACACTGACCCCTCAAGGATGCCCAGAGCAAAGCAAGAGAGGCACCTGGCTCCATCTAGCTCCCTCCCCCTGGAGGCTGCTGCGTGGCCTCAGGTCAGGGCCTCTCCCAGCCACTGGCACTTACCTGCTTACCCTGTCCCAGCCAGCCCTGGTGCTCAACTGGGGCCTGCCCCTGTGCCTCAGACTGAGGGTCTGGCTGGGATGTCAGCTTTGGGAACTCAGGCAGGGCTGGGTGGCTCAGTTGGTTGGAGCGTTGTCCTATGCACCAAAAGGGTGCAGGTTTGGTTCCCGGTCAGGGCACATGCCTAGGTTGCTGTTCAATCCCCCATCAGGGCGTGTATGGAGGCAACAGATGGACGTTTCTCTCTCATATCAATGTCCCTCCCCCCTCCTCTCTCTCTAAAATATCAACAAAGACATATCCTTGGGTGAGGATTGAAAAAGAGTGCATCTCCTAGGCTGGCACTGAGAACCTGTCATTGCACGTTTCTCTCCCACCCCGGCTCGGCGTCCTGCGGGGCCGGGTGCCCAGGGACCAGGAGTTTTGTCTCTGGCTAGGGTTTACTCTCGCGTGAGTGGAGTACTTTGTCCCCCCGATGTGTTTTCAGCCTTTGCGCTTATTTGACGTGGGCTTCTATCGTTTGAGGAGAATAAGGATTTTTGTGCTACCAGGCTGAGTCCCACGGACGTATTAGAAACACACAAACGTGAGAGGTGCTGGGGGGTAGGCTGCTGTGTCTGGAGGAGCGGTGGGGCTTCCTGCCTGCGGGCTTCCTCTATTGGAGAGACTGGCGGTCCTGGTGTGGCTGCTGCTTCCAGTGTTCCATGCCACCCTAACGTCCTGCGCCTGCTCCCCTCAGCTCAGGGCGTCAGGTCTGTGCTGGAGAACTTTCCTTCCGGTGCGCTTTGGTGTTCACGGGAAGCTTGCAGGTACCTGCCGCTTGGATGCACTTTGTTTTTCCCTCATTAGCTGCCGGGACAGGTGGCCCAGGAGGTGGTGGTGGCCCTTCTCTTCCTGGGAGCCTTTTTCACTGGGTCCTTTCTCTTTGGTCCCATTTACCCTCAGGTGTTCCCTAGAGCCCCCCACTGGCCCTCGCAGGCCCAGGTGGCTTCCTATGTGCTTTTTGCTCCCTGGCCCCTGTCCAGGCTGCGGATCTCGGGGGTTTATTCAAAGAGCCCGGAGAGCCGGCCTCAGCCTGCTGTGACTGATGCCTCTCCTACCCGGGAGGTTTATTCCTCTTCAGGAATCTTTGCTTTGGGGCAAATTGGGAAAAGGCCTGGACTCGCTGCTGGGCATGCAGAAGTGCCCTTGAGTGGGCCACTGCATGGGGTGGGGAGTTGGTGCACCTGGGACATCTATCCGGTGTGTCCGCAGGTCCTTTCAGGCCTGTCACTCTGGCTCATCTGTCATACCAGCCACGGGGGTTCCTGAGGCACAGACCTGACCATGTTGCTTCCCTGCTTATAGAAAATGCTTGATCCCTTCAAGGGACGCAGCCTGTCTCCTTCCTTCTGTTCCCACTACCCAGTGCATGCATGCCACAGGGGCGGCCTCCCTGCGGAAGGGTTTGGACAGCGGCTGTGCCTAGTGCAGCAGGAGGGCTCGCAGCCTGGGCTCTAAGCAGGGCAGTGCTCCGAGCTTCGTCATCCCAGGTGCTCCCCGAGCATCTCCTCAGTTGGCCCTCCAAGTACCCTCCTGCTGGACACCTCTAGGTGCTGAGGTGGCTTCTCTCCCATCCCCACTCAGAACTCAGTGTCGGTTCCCTGCGAGGAAATGAGGACACTGCTTTCTCCGCTCCCCGAGGGAGCTGCCCCAGAGGTGGAAAGGTCATGTGGGGGCGTGGAGCAGGCCTCTGCTGGGGCCGCACGGGAACCACCCCTGACAGGCTGTTTGCCCCCTGCCCAGCTCCTTGCCGGAGGAGAAAAGCCGCATCAGCTCCTCCTTTGAGACCTGCCCAAGGCCAAGTGAGAAGCCGGAGGTGGAGCCCAGGGAGCCAGACCCTGAGCCGAAAAGGAGCCGAGCTCGGGAGCGCAGGCGGGAGGGGCGCTCCAAGACCTTCGACTGGGCTGAGTTCCGCCCCCTGCAGCAGGCCCTGGCTCAGGAGAGGGCGGGCGCAGGGCTGCCCAGCAGTCTCTCCGAGGCCGGGCCGGGGGAGCTGGAGCGGGAGCGGGCGCGCAGGCGGGAAGAGCGCCGTAAGCGCTTCGGGATGCTTGACACAGTGGACGGGCCAGCCACTGACGACACGTCCTTGCGGATGGAGGTGGATCGGAGCCCGGGGCTACCTGTGACCCCCGACCTCAAGACACAGAATGTCCATGTGGAGATCGAGCAGCGATGGCATCAGGTGGAGACCACCCCTCTCCGGGAAGAAAAGCAGGTGCCCATTGCCCCTCTGCACCTGTCCTCTGAGGACAGAAGTGACCGGCTCTCTACTCATGAGCTGACCTCCCTGCTGGAGAAGGAGGTAACGACCAGGGCGGCCACAGGTGGGCGGGTTCCACGCAGCGCCCCTTCCTGAGCACCCACCCCTGTGCCCAGCAGCAGCCTGAGTGGTTCAGCTGCATGACCGAGGGCGATGTGGTCTCCCCTCGAGGGCTTGCAGACCGTTCAGGAAGATAGACCCATGGATGGGCAGGTTCTTAGAGTCCAGGGTAGTCACTGAGAGGTACAGGGAGTGCAGGCTCATGCAGGGTGGCGGAGGCACCAGCCCTTTCTAGGACAGAGTAGTTTGCCATGTGGCAGGGGCACTGCCCTTAGAGTCAGAGTGGCCAGAGAAGAGGCTGGTAGGGTTTCAGGGCCTGTTTCGAGCATGAACTCGAGATCTTCAGGGGAGAGGAGCCTAAGGAGAGTTAGGTTTGATCTGCACTAGGTGACCCTGGGTGGAGCAGGCCAAAGCTGGAGGCAGAGAAGCATCCCACTGCTGCCCAGCAGCCTGGTGACTGCCGGGGACCTGAGGAGGTGCAGGCCCCCACAGGAGGCAGGTGGGTGCTGGGGTGAGCCGTGCACTCATTCGGCAAGGACTGCAGTGGGGAGACTTTGCAGAGCAGGTCCCTCTGGGCACCCAGATACAGGATGAGTGCCAGCCTGCATTTGCAGCAGCATACGTTTCTTCATGAACATGTGTCCAGAAATCAGATCTGGGGAGCTTCTGCAGTGAATTTATAAATCTGAACAGGAAGTTCCTGACCAAGGAGGTACAGCCTTACAGTGTCATGTTTCAAATGTGTTCTTTTACAGAAGTAGCTCACTAGAGTTACAGATTTGCCACTTTGGCCTGCCTTTACTTTTCTTATTTTTCCTCGTCTATTAATTTCACGAGGCTGACGTTTATCACTATCATGAACACTTTGAGTTTATTTCCATTTTCTATGCCTATTAGGATAATAAAGGCAAGATGCAATAAATAACAGTTCAAACTTAGATTGCTATAAGCTAAAATAGGCCCCACATGGGACTGTAAGCTTGTTTTAAACAGCAATGTCTGAACGTCAAGGGAGAACGTCAATGCCTCTCACATAGCCCGGCAGCACCCTGCCCGTCTCCCAGCTCCACAGCCTCGGGGGCAGGGCAGGCAGAGTGGCCCACGTGGCCCAGCACCCAGTTAGGCTCCTAGGGAATATTTGGGGAAGAAGTGACTGGATGGATGACTGAATTCAAAGCCACTGAAAGCAAGAAGAGTTTGAAGTAGCTTGCTTGCCTTCCACATCTCATGGGACCCTCTTCGCAAACAGAGGTTATGTAGGGTCCATTGGATAAAAGTGGGACTTGCAGTGGAAGCCAAGGCAGGGGCTGGAGTGGGGTTCGCCCCCAAGGGCAGCCGTGCTGTGGCCGTGCTGAGGAAACAGGACGGGGCCGGGGGGGTGTGGGGGGGGTGCCTCCTAGTGCAGGCACAGAGCCACATTTCCTGCTGGGTCTGCAAATGGGGACCTTGAGCAGGGGTGGATGTTATGTGGGCATTCATGGTGGCCGGTCTGCCATGTTATGTATGTGTATTTACGGTTTGAGCAGGAGCCTTCAGTTTCAGATGCTGCAGTTTAGGGCAGATCAGCTTATCCCTGACCTATGGGCACGTGGAGGGCCAGGGAGGAGTCTGTGTGCCAGCTCAGCTGGTGTCAGAAATGCCCCCGGGGCCTCTACTGTGCTGCTGATGGTTTGTTACCATCATTTTGCTTTAAAATGTGTGTCTTTTTGTCAACAGTTGGAGCAGAGCCAGAAGGAGGCCTCAGACCTTTTGGAGCAGAACCGGCTCCTGCAGGACCAGCTGAGGGTGGCTCTGGGCCGGGAGCAGAGTGCCCGGGAGGGCTATGTGCTGCAGGTAGGGCTGAGGGGCGGCGGGCGCTCAAGATGCTCTTGGGAACTTGAGTGCAAGGGCCCTGGCTGCTAGAAATGCACACAGCAGCCTGAGCCAGGCAGCCCTCCCAGTGCTGCCGCGGCTGCTCTGCCCCAGGACTGCGGTTCCAGTGCACTGGGCCAGTGTAGTTCCCTCCTGGTATTACATTTGGGAGAATCTGCCTGAAACTTCTGTGTCTAAGGTTTTTTCTTTGTTTTTTTAATAAAATAGTTTTGGTGGTTTTTCCTTTGGGCTCTCAAAGTAATCCAATATATTTGTTATAAATACTATATATTTGCATGTCATTTCTAATAGTTTTTGCAAAAGCAGTATTTGGCCTGTTTTGATTACAGATTGAAGAAATTGAGTGACATAGCCACCAAGTGCCTCATTAAGACCAAGTTAGTGGCAGAACCAGCATTGGATCCCCTGTCCTGCCTTTGTACCACATCTACAGGCAGACCTGGGCGATTACCGCTTGCCCAGTGGACCCATTCCTTTCTCCCTACCTAGACTGAAGTTTCAGGGGGAAACATGGCCGCCCAGCCCCGAGCCAGCCCACACCGCCAGCCTAGAAGGGGAGAGGAGGCCCCGAGCTTGGGTCCTAAGCTGAGAGCCCACACCCAGTGTCCAGGACCAAAGGTCTCTGGGCCACAGCCCTGGTCAGCAGGCAGAGTCACAGAGAGCAGCGGGCACTACTGAGGGTGCCTCGCTTGGCAGTAGGTAGGTCAGCTGGGCAGGGTGGGCCGGTGTGTACTCTGTCAAGAGGCCCTGTTCTGGTCTGGGGCACAAAACAACACACTCCCTGCCCCCCGGAGTGATGTGCTGGTGGGGAGAGATGACTGACAAATGAGTACTGGGAAATGCAAAATGGGCAATGGAATGGGCTGTCTGCCAAGGCCAAGGAATGGCTGCAAGCGCAGGCCCTGACACTGACCAGCAGATGCCAGTGTCCCCTCCCCACCGCACTAGCCTCTGCTGTGTGGACGTAGACCTTGTCCCCGAGGCCCTTCCAGCTCTCAGTGACTGTGCCAACATTTCCAGATTACCATGCCTTGCCCGCCTCAGTCCCGGTCCTCCCGGGCAGCACGTGAACCTTCTGGGCAGAGCCTGCCTTCCTGCCTCTGTCCCTACTGCTGTGGTTGCATGTTCCCTCTGCCTTCTCTTCCTCTCATTTCTCTTTTCCTTCAGCTTTAGCTGTGGCCCTGGGCACCCTGTGTGCCCTGCACCCTCCTCCCCAGCCCTTTCAGCTGTACTTATTGCTGTGCCCAGTTCAGACTCTCAGGCACCAGGAGCTGGTGATGGTGGGCGTTCTTCTTTTGTGCACAGCTCACTCAGGGCATTCTGATCATTCATGCAGAACCTCCAAATTTGGAGAGCATCTTTTTAAACCTGGGTTGGGCCCCTATCCTACACAGATTCCCTTTTACTTTATCAGGCGGTAAAGATATTAGCAGCAGATTGTGCACATTGCTAACCTAAGAACCTACCTCTGTGTCTAACTTGGATGATTGCATGAGCCTGCACCCAAGCCCCTGTCAGTCGGCACTGGGCAGAGCTGGCTTCTGAATACCTTCCCACAAAGTCTAATAGCAGGTTGCTCTTACCCTCCCTTTGTGCTTTGGGAAAGAACAGGGCCTTAGGGATTGAGGGTCAGAAGGAGTTCGCCTGGGATGGGCGCTGCGCTGCTTGTTCTGGGAGGAGGAGCTTGCATGGTTTGGACTTGCTGTGGAGTATAACCAATAACGGAACTGAGTGTCACATCTGTGGCTTCCCCGCCGACTGGAAGGGGCCACAGGCAGGTCAGGTTCTCAGGCTGGGCTGTTCTCACGTCTGTTCATGTTTCCCCTGATTGTTGGTCTGTCTGTCCTGCATGCCTTTCTGTTTGGGGAGTTTGTTCCATTTGTGTTCTGTTTTGTTTTGTGCCGCGTCACTTATTTTGACTTCCATGAAGGTGTGTTTTGTTGGTATCATATCTTACTCCATGGGTTTCGCTTCCCCTCGTTTTGTCTTCTTACAGGTAGAGACTCGTTCCTCCTGTCACTGAGGACGAGCTTCATTTCCGAAAGGAAAGTGCTCGGTGTCACCTGCTGCCTCCTTCCTTCTGTCCTGTCCTAGAAGGAAGGGGCCTCTCCCGCACCCTCACCCTGTGCTTTTCCAAGGTTTATTGTCTAGAGCTGTGTGCCTTTTGTTTTGTAAAACAAACAGAGGCCATGCTCTGCTCCCCCTCCTCCCACCCGTCTCGTCTTCAGTCTCTGTTTTGCTTACCCGTATGTTCCATCATTCAGTTGTGTTTGGTTTACTTCTCCTAAAAGCCATTTGGTTAGAGTTGTTTTGATGTTGTTATCCATGTTTTCTGTTTACCTGGAAGCAGCACTTATCAAAATAATTAAGATGATTTGTTGGATTGCTTATTTAATGAAAAAAATTGTGCAAAGGATAAAAGGCAAACCCACCAAGGAGCTTTTCTGTGACTGACCCTGGCCAGAGGTGTGACACTCAGAACTAGGAAGCCCGAGTGTTACTAACCAGTGTTTAATCGGTTTTTTTAAGACTGAAGTGGCCACCTCCCCATCTGGCGCCTGGCAGAGGCTCCACAGAGTCAATCAAGATCTGCAAAGGGAGCTGGAGGTCCAGTGCCGGCGCCAGGGGCTGACTACGCAGCAGACCCAGGCCCTGAAGTGCAGCTACGGGGAGGCTGAGGATGCAGTCCGGCACCATGAGGCCGAAATCCGCAGCCTCCAGGCGAGGCTCAGCACCGCTGCCGCCGAGCTCACCTTCAAGGAACAGGCACTGGCCCAGCTCAAGGGGGACCTGAAACTGGAGAAGGACAAGGCCCGTGAGCACTTGGAGGAGTGGCAGCACAGCAAGGCTGTGCTGAGCGGTCAGCTTCAGGCCAGCGAGCAGAAGCTCAAGAGCGCAGAGGCCCTGCTGCTGGAGAAGACGCGGGAGCTGCGGGACCTGGAGACGCAGCAGGCGCTGCAGAGAGACCGGCAGAAGGAGGTGCAAAGGCTGCAGGAGCGCATCGGAGACCTCAGCCAGCAACTCAGTGCTAGCGAGCAGGCCCAGCGGCTGATGGAGGAGAAGCTGCAGAGGAACTACGAGCTGCTGCTGGAGAGCTGTGAGAAGGAAAAGCAGGCATTGCTGCAGAACCTGAAGGAGGTGGAGGACAAGGCCAGTGCCTACGAGGACCAGCTCCAGGACCACGAGCAGCAGGTGGAGGCCCTCCAGAGGGAGAAGTTAAGCGTCAGGTCTGAGGGCAGCCAGGCGGTGCGCCAGCTGGAGGAGCAGCTGCAGGCGAAGGAGGCCAGCCTCCAGACGCTGGCCCAGCACGTCCAGAGCCTCAGGGATGAGCGGGACCTGGTCCGGCAGCGGTTCCAGGAGCTGACAGAGCGTGTCGCCCTGTCTGATGGGGATGTTGCGGAGCTTCAGCAGAAGCTGCAGGGCAGGGAGGCCGACTACCAGAGCCTGGAGCATGCCTACCAGAGGGTGGCCAGCCAGCTCCAGGGCATGCACACCCTGCTGAGAGAGAGGGAGGAGGAGCTGAGGCACATCAAGGACATGCATGAGAAAGTTCTGGAAAAGAAAGATCAGGCCCTCAATGAGGCTTTGGTTAAAATGGTTGCCTTGGGGAGCAGCTTAGAGGAAACAGAAATGAAGCTCCAGACAAAGGAAGAGATTTTAAGGAAATTCACCAAGGCATCTTCAGAGGAAGTGGAGGAGCCGCAGAGCTCCCTGGGAGAAGCAGAGGATGGCTTTGCGCTTTCGGGCCTGCAGCTCCCAGCCTCAGACACATCCCCAGGCTGCCCACACTTGAGGCTTGAGGATGAGGACCCAGGGGCTGCCCTTAAGGAGAAACATGGGCACAGCAGCCCCAGGAGAGAAGTGAGCATGATGCCCCCGAAGTCAGAAGTGCCTGAGAAGGAGGGGCACTCGCGGAACACAGCAAAATGTGAGCAGTGTGTACCCGGCATTAAAAGGCAAAGAATCCGGTTCTCCACGATCCAGTGCCAGAAATACACCCACCCCGATGGGTCCGAGAAGACCTGGACCAGCAGCACGTCTTCCGACACCAGTCAGGACCGGTCACCCTCCGAGGAGAGCATGTCGTCAGAGGCCACCCTCAGCTCTGTCCCTGCAACCAGCGACTCTGATACCTACCTCTCCATAATACACTCCCTGGAGACCAAGCTCTACATCACAGAAGAGAAGCTCAAAGATGTGACGGTGAAGCTGGAGAGCCAGCAGGGCCAGAGCCAGGAGGCCCTGCTCACACTGCACCACCAGTGGGCTGGCACTGAGGCCCGGCTCCGCGAGCAGCTCCGCGCCAGCCTGCTCCAGGTTGGCACGCTGGCCTCCCAATTGGAGCAGGAGAAACAGGCCAGGGCGAAGATCATTGAAAATCACGTAGGGGAGCTTGGCAATTTCCAGGTAAAAAACACGCAGGCCCTTGCTTGCTTAGAAAATTGCCGAGAACAGCTACGGTCTCTGCCAAGGTCTGGCCAGGAGGAAGCCCCGGGGGCAGGAGCAGGCCCCCTGGCCAGTGTGGAGAGCGTGCTAGTAAGCGCCATCCAGGCTCTGCGTCACTGGCCAACCCCTGCAGACAGCAGGTCCCAGGCTCCGCTGGAAGAAGAGAGCTTCCTGGAGAGAGGGAAGGAGGCTCTGCGGCAGCCATCCCCGCAGCCCGAGCTGACCGAGCAGGAGCAGCTGAAGCTTCTTGCTGATCAAATAGCTCTGGAAGCCTCTCTGATAAACCACATAGCAGACTCTTTAAAAAACACAACATCAGATATCTCACACGTTCTCGATGAGGTTTCTCAGTCAGGAAAGTTGCCCCTGGAGTCTGGGAGTGCAGTCTGTCTGGGGGCCCCAGCAGACACCTGGGCTAAGAAGGTGCTGGTGGATGGTGAATTCTGGAGCCAGGTTGAGTCCCTGAGTAAGCACCTGGGGACAGTGGGGGGAGTGGCAGCCAGTGCATCAGGAGGTGGGCAGCAGAGCATCCCACCAGCCCTGGTCCCCACCCTGGCAGACGCCACGTGGGTCCGGGCGGAGCTTAGCTTTGCTGTGCAGTCAGTGAGGGAGTCATTCCACCGTCGGTTGCAGAGCATTCGGGAGACTCTCCGGGGGACCCAGGCAGCCCTGCGGCAGCATAAGCACGCACTGGGGGAAATCCTGGGAGCGTACCGAACCCCTGACTTTGAGAGGGTGATGCAGCAGGTCGCAGAGGCCCTCAAGCTCCCAGCAGGCACTGCAGAAGGTGTCCAGGCTCCCTGGGACTTGAGCCCATTAAGAGAAGAACTGAGTCATCAAGACACAGCTGGCTTCCAGGAGCCCTTCCACTTCTCGGACCAGAGCTCTGGGGCCTTCGTTGGGATTCAGGAAGAACTCGCCCTGCAGCTTAAAGATAAAGCCCGCCTCTTAGGAGAGATATCTGCCTCTTTAACTTCTCTTCCCCCTGTGGAATCCATAAGAGATTGTCAGAAGCTTCTTCAGGTGTCCCAGAATCTCTCCTGTAACACTTATTTGGGAGGCCTTGGTCAGTATTCTTCATTATTAGTTAAAGATGCAATTATTCAGGCTCAGGTGTGTTATGCAGCCTGCAAAATTCGGCTGGAGTATGAAAAAGAGCTTCAGTGCTACAAGGAGTCCTGGCAGAGCAGGGGGGCCTCCTGCCAGGAGCACGAGCAAGCTGTCGGAGCCCTGAAGGAGGAGTACAAGGAACTTCTCCGGAAGCAGAAGAGTGAGTACCTGGAAGTGATTGCCATCATTCAAAGGGAAAATGCAGAGCTCAAGGCCCAGGTCACCCAGCTAGACCAGCAGCAGAGGTATCTGGAGGAAGTGGAGAGCAAGCACAACGAGAACATGTTTGCCCTGCAAGGGAGGTACGAGGAGGAGATCCGGTGTGTGGTGGAGCAGTTGAACAGAGCTGAGAATACACTGCAGGCTGAGCACAGCCGAGTCCTGAGCCAGCTGGACGCCTCAGTCAGAGACAGGCAGGACATGGAGAGGCACCATGTGGAGCAGATGCAGACCCTGGAGGACAAGTTCCAGCTCAAGGTCAAAGAACTACAGACCATCCACGAGGAAGAGCTAAGGACCTTGCAGGAGCACTACTCCCAGAACCTACAGTGCCTGCAGGAGACCCTCTGCCACTATCAGGGGCAGCCGCCGGAAGCCTTGCTGGCCAGCAGCCCCCACCAGCCCCCTTCCTCCACCTGGCCAGCTGGCCAGCCCAGGGATGCTCTGCAAGTAGCCACTGGGGAGGCCGACTCCATGGTGGGGCTGAGGGAGCGCATCCAGGAGCTGGAGGCTCAGATGGACGTCATGCGGGAGGAGCTGGAGCACAAGGACCTGGAGGGTGACACGGCCACGCTGCGAGAGAAGTACCAGAAAGACTTTGAGAACCTTAAGGTTTCGAAGCATCGTTTAATTTGCAAAGCAGTCGAGGGGCAGGCACTCTCCTGCTAGTTGAGAGTCAGTGTGGGATTCTCGGGGTGGAGCTGGGAGACAGTTCTTGGCCCTGAGTTCCTGTATAAGCAGAATTGATTCAACATTTTGTTCCTTCCGCAACTCCTTGCTCACGATGGCGTGGCCTCAGAGCAGGGCCTTGGTTAGGGTCTATCATCCTGTTCCACATCCCCCACGAGGAAAGAGGACTAGCAGAACAGGATCGTTGGAGAAAGGGAGTGTATTCTCCCATGCCTTCCCGCCTGCTTCTCACAGCCCCTCACCGCCTCGCCTGCTTCCCACCCCAACAGCCCACCTGTGGCTGGTGCAAACTACACTGAAGAAAAGCCTGGGATAGATGGGCCAGAGGCACCCTAGGAGGGATGCCTCTTAACTGTTGTAGGAGAGCAGAGTTTGGGGAGCCTGAAAGATAGGAATACTGACAAGACAGTGCCGAGAGTCACACTCCCATCCCAACTCTGTAGGGAACTGGTGTTCAGTGGGCACCTAGGTAAGGACTAGGGAGCACAGCTTTCAGTGCTGGTACTTCTCAGGAGCTTTGAGAAAGAACCTTTTCTTGTCACTGTCTCCCACACTCCTAACCTGTTTCTCATTATGCAGAATACCCAGGCCCTGGCACGCAAAGGTGACAATTCCAGGCCCACAGGCATTAGAATCTCTGAAGCGGTCCAGCTTCTCGCCCATCCCCTTCATAACCAGAGGCACCTGTGTGCATGCATGTGGCTGCCAGCATATCCCCTAAGCTTCTCGGCGTTATCCTCTTGGGCTGCTTGCCATCCCTTGGAGCTACACCCCACAAATGTTTACGTCCCTCACAAGCCCTTAGTCTCGGCAGGCCCGGGGTGAGGTGACACTCCCTTCCGTGCAGCACAGAGCTGGCTCTGGGCTGCAAATGCTGCTTTGCTGCTGCTGAGCAAGCTGCCACGGCTGTGCTCCCAGCAGCGCACTCCTCCAGGTCCGGCAGGAAAGCGTAAGTGTGCTCTGTGTTGGCAGCACATTCTTACCTCTGTGACAGCACAGCCACTCCCAGCAAGCTGTGTGGTGGCTAGCAAGCACGCAGACCAAGAGGCCGCCTTCGCTGTGCTTGTGCTGAGTCAGTCAGAAACATTTGGAAACCATCGTGAATCACGGGAGAGCCTCCAGGGCTCTTTCCCGGAAGTGCCCTGTGGCAGTCCGTGCCCTTGATCGCAGTGCTCAGGTGCGGCTTTCAAAGTAATTTGCACCAGCACTGTCCTAGTGCCTTCCCTACTCACGGGGCCCCGCAGCTTTTCACAGCACCCAGCAGGTCTGTGAGCAGGTGCCTGGGCGCATACACAGCTCAGGCTCACAGGAGCCACAGTGAACTGCTTCCTGTCAGCTCCACCAAAGCCTCCTGCATGGTGAGGCTATCCAGCTCCCACGGCAGTCAGCTGGGCGTAGATAAGGCTTTGGCCAAAGTGGTGACATCGTACCACCAGTTAGCAAGCCATCAAAAGGGCAACACTGTCTTGTGTGGACAACTGGCCATAGATGGTGCTGGGGCCCAGTGTCCCCTTGCCGTGACATAGTTCCATGGTATTCTCATTGACAACCTTGAGACACACAGAAATTACAACCAAGTAGCACTCTCCTGGGGACCCGGCTAATGGTACTACTTTGTGCAGATTTTTGCCCGGGTTGGGGAGATTGAATCTGCACAGTAGTCATTGATCCCAGCGATTATTGGCTTAACAATTAAAAATGTTTATTGATTATTTTTTTTTTACCAACACATGCTCTCCAGGGAAGCAGCCAATCTTTAAAGACACCTCAGAGTTTCTGTAGGAACAATTTTGACCATTATTTAGCTACTGGAGGCCCGGTACACAAATTTGTGCACCAGTGGGGTCCCTTGGCCTGGCCTGCTGGATCAGGCCGAAACCAGCTCTCCAACATTCCCCGAGGGATCCCGGATTGCGAGAGGGCACAGGCCAGGCCAAGGGACCCCACTGGTGCACGATCGGGGCCGGGAGGGACTTGGAAGGTTGGCCAGCCAGAGAGGGACCGCAGGAGGGTTCCAGGGCATGTTCAGCCTGACTCGCTTAGTCCTGATTGGCCAGACCCCAACAGCAAGCTAACCTACCGTCAGAGTGTCTGCCCCCTGGTGGTCAGTGCATGTCATAGCGAACTTTTGAGTGGCCTTAGCATATCATTAGCATATTACACTTTGATTGGTTGAATGGTTGACTGGACACATAGCATATTAGGCTTTTATTATATAGGATTCTAAAGCACTCAGATCAAACTAATACTTATGAGATCTACTAACTCTGTTAAGTGAGAAGCCATATGTGAACCAAAGCACCTGGGAGAGAGAAGACAATGGGTTCCGAGCACACAAGGGTCCGAGCCACAGCTCGAGGGTTCCTCCAGCGTCCTTTGGTGTGAGGTGGTGGAAGGAGACCACCGGCTGCCAGAAGGAGTCTCTGGGGAAAGTAATGCCCAGTTAATGGTGAACACAGTTAAAACCATATCCCCTTTGCAGCAAATCCGCTGCAGTGAAATCCAAACTCTGATCATGAGTTTAGAAAAACTGAACTGAGGCCCTCAGGAAAGCCTCACAGTTACTGTGGGGGCTCAGACACCTGGGTGGGTTTGTTTTTTGTTTTTTCTTAAATCCATGTATCTTCTTGGGAAGATAGAGCCTCCACTTGCATTTGGAATGGATCATAGCCACATTCTTCCACTTTTTAAAAACCACTGGAAGGCCTGATCCCTATTCAGAAACAGGTTTTGCAAGGGATTTAGACAGAAAGTGTGACTCCGTGCACAAAACAGCTACACAGACCTCCTTACATCTGTGGGGCACACTCACCTGCCCTGTTAAGAACAGCTGATAAGCCAGACCTGGACTTCCCGGTGTAGCGTGTGGGATGGTTGGATCCCTTCTTAGGGATCCTGTGTCCTTCTCCTGCACTCCTGTGTGCCCAGGTAGTAAACTGCCCCAGCCTGTAACAGGTGTAGACAAGTTGGAGAGCAGTTTTTCTGTTATGTGTCCAGTGTATTAGTAGAGTCACTAATTACTGCCCCTCTGTACTCCTTCAAAAGAAATAGAAGGAAGACAGGCTGGAAGGGAAGAGAGCACGTAGGCTAATGTAACCCCTTGTGGGCACCGCAGAGGTGTGAGCAGGTGAGGGTGGCCAGCTTGTCAGTGCAGGGCCAGCCCCGTGGAGCCTCAGCTCATAAAGGCATGACTGACTTATTTGTGAAATGCCCAGTTTGTGACTGACAGTGCTACTCACTGTATGAACTCAAATGAGACACGGCCAGCCTCTGCAAATTCATTCTCTCTCCCTCTTGTCAGTCCGACCTGGCAGTAATTCTATCAGGGCCTAGAATTGGCTGTCTTAGATTCCACTGCAGCCTCCTCCCACCCACAGTACCAACTCATTCCACAGGATTCAGAACAGTCATAGAAATAAGACAATTTACAGATATAAACGCCCTTTTCTAAGTGCTCTGATAGCATCAGTGAGAGTCTCCAGACAGCTGTCAGGTGGCCCCGCTGGCTCAGTGCTCGCCTTCAGAGAGCATATGCCTCGAGAATAGGAAGTCTGAGAGCAGGCGGGCTGCTGGCTTATCAAACAGGACCCCCGACTTAGAGGTGGTGAAACAAATTGATCGAGCTCCTTTGCGTCTTGCAGGCCACCTGCGAACGAGGGTTTGCAGCAATGGAAGAAACGCACCAGAAGAAGATTGAAGATCTCCAGAGGCAGCACCAGCGAGAGCTGGAGAAGCTGCGAGAGGAAAAAGACCGCCTCCTGGCTGAGGAGACTGCAGCCACCATCTCAGGTGGGAGCTGGCAGGTGGTGGGTTAGCCGGAGGGCAGGACAGGTGGAAGACTCCCGGAGCTGGTGGCACAGCGCAGTTAGGACTGCTCTTCGTGCTATCATTGGGTTAAGATTTAAGCTTCCTGATCCAAGGATATTTTATTTTTCAATTGTGGTTTACATTCCGTATTAGTTTGTGTTCATTTCAGCTGTGTAGGATAGTGGTTAGACAGTCACTTTACAACGTGTTCCCCCCAATACTTCCAGTCCCCACCTGGCACCACACGTAGTAATTACAATATTATTATTTTTTTAAAATATATTTTATTGATTCCTTACAGAGAGGAAGGGAGAGGGATAGAGAGTTAGAAACATCGATGAGAGAGAAACATTGACCAGCTGCCTCCTGCACACTCCCGACTGGGGATGTGCCCGCAACCAAGTTACATGCCCTTGACCGGAATTGAAACTGGGACCCTTCAGTCCGCAGGCCGACACTCTATCCACTGAGCCAAACCGGCCAGGGCTGTAATTACAATATTATTGACGATATTCCCTATGCTGTACCTTACATCCCCATGACTATTTTGTAACTACCAATTAGTACTTCTTAATCCCTTCACCTTTTTCACCTTGTCCCTGAACCCCATCCTATCTGGCAACCATCAGTCTGTTCTCTATATGTATAAGCGTGTTTCTGTTTTGTTGTTCACTTAGATTCCACATATAAGTGAAATCATGGTATTTCTCTTTCTCTGATTGACTTAGTTCACTTAGCATAATACCCTCTAAGTCCATCCATGCTATCTCAGTAAGGTTATGACTGAGTACTGTTCCATTGTGTGTGTATGTGTATGTGTGTGTGTGTGTGTGTGTGTGTGTGTGTGTGTATCTCCCCCCAGCTTTTTAGCCAGTCATCTCTTGGTGGGCACTTGGGTTGCTTCCATATCGTAGCTATTGTAAATAGCGCTGCAGTGAGCATAGCAGTGCATAAACTCTTTTGAGTTAGTGCTTTGGGTTTCTTCAGAGACATACCCAGAAGTAGAATCATTGGGTTATAAGGAAGTGCCATTTTTAATTTTTTGAGGACCCTCCGTACTGTTTTTCATAGTGACTGCACCAGTCTACATTCCCACCAACAAGACACAAGGGTTTCCTTTTCTCCACATACTTGCCAACACTTGTTGTTTGTTGATTTACTGTTGGTAGCCATTCTGACAAGTGTGAGGTGATATCTCATTGTGGTTTTAATTTGCATTTCTTTGTTGATTAGTGACTTTGAGCATGTTTTCATATATCTATTGGCCATCTGTATATCCTCTTTGGAGAATTGTCTATTCAGGTCCTCTGACCATCTATTAATTGGATTGTTTGGTTTGGGGTGTTGAGTAGTATGAGTTCTTTATAAAATTTTGGATGTTAACCCTTTATATCATTGGCAAATATCTTCTCTTCAGTAGGTTGTCATTGCATTTTGTTGATGGTTTACTTTGCCATAACTTTAGTTTGATGTAGTCCCATTTGTTTATTTTCTTTTGTTTTTCTAGCCCAAGGAGATATATCAGAAAAAAATGATAAGAGGAATATCTGACATTTTACTGCCTGAAATATTACAGAATTGTAAAACTTTTGAATATTAACCCCTTATTAGATATGTCTTGGTAAATATCTTCTCCCATTCAGTAGGTTGTCTTTGTTTTTTAAAAAATATTTTATTTATCTATCTATCTAACCTCATCTGAAGCTATGCTTATCGATAGAGAGAGAAAGAAACATCAATTGGTTGCCTTCCATACATGCTCCGAAAAAAGATCAAACACACAGCCTTTTGGTATACGGATGATGCTCCACACAGGCCAGGGCAGTGTTTTTTAATTTTATTTAATTTTTATTATTAAATCATTATTGTTGGAAGTGTTATGTATGTTCCCCTTTTCCCCCATGACCCTCTCTAGCCCGCCCATGCCCCCACCCCAGTCTTTCACCACCCTATTTGTCTGTGTCCATGGGTTATGCATATATCCATACCAGGTTTTGATTAATTACCTCCTACCCACCCACTCCCCCGCCTTCCCTCCAAGATTCTGCACTCTGTTCCATGCTTCCATGTCTCTGGATCTATTCTGTTTATCAGTTTATTTTGTTAATTAGATTCCATATATGAGTGAGATCATGTGATACTTGACTATCTCTGACTGACTTATTTCACTAAACATGATACCCTCCAGGTCCTGCCATGCTGTCTCAAAGGGTAAGAGATTCTTCTTTACTGCTGCATAGTATCCCATGGTGTAAATGTACCACAGCTGTTTTATCCACTCACCTACTGATGGGCACTTGGCTGATT